TGCTGGTTCCTCTCACAGGTAACAAGTATGTCCCACGTGCCATCCTCGTGGACCTGGAACCTGGCACCATGGACTCTGTGCGCTCTGGCCCCTTTGGACAGATCTTCCGTCCTGACAACTTTGTCTTTGGTGAGTGAGTGTGAGACGGAAAAGTCCCAGAGTGGGAACTCGACACCAAGAAAAGACTTGGAGCAAGCATGCAAATGACCCTGGGGGACCTGAAACCCAGTGGCAGAGTGGGGATGGAAGTGAAGGGTGGAGCCCATGGGGAAGGGGAAAGTGGCATCATCTCTGTTTGTCCCCGTGGCGCTAATGTGGCACCTTGCTTGTGGTCTGTTCTCCAGGTCAGAGCGGGGCCGGCAACAACTGGGCCAAAGGGCACTACACGGAAGGCGCCGAGCTGGTGGACTCTGTCCTGGATGTGGTGAGGAAGGAGTCGGAGAGCTGTGACTGCCTCCAGGGCTTCCAGTTGACCCACTCGTTGGGCGGAGGCACAGGCTCTGGGATGGGCACCCTCCTCATCAGCAAGATCCGGGAGGAGTACCCCGACCGCATCATGAACACCTTCAGCGTGATGCCCTCGCCCAAGGTGTCGGACACGGTGGTGGAGCCCTACAATGCCACCCTCTCCGTGCACCAGCTGGTGGAGAACACGGACGAGACCTACTGCATCGACAACGAGGCCCTGTATGACATTTGCTTCCGCACCCTGAAGCTGACCACTCCCACGTACGGGGACCTCAACCACCTGGTGTCGGCCACCATGAGCGGCGTGACCACCTGCCTTCGCTTCCCCGGCCAGCTGAACGCCGACCTGCGCAAGCTGGCGGTCAACATGGTGCCTTTCCCCCGGCTGCACTTCTTCATGCCGGGCTTCGCCCCTCTCACCAGCCGTGGCAGCCAGCAGTACCGCGCCCTGACGGTGCCTGAGCTGACGCAGCAGATGTTCGACTCCAAGAATATGATGGCCGCCTGCGACCCCCGCCACGGGCGCTACCTGACGGTGGCCGCCATCTTCCGGGGCCGCATGTCCATGAAGGAGGTGGACGAGCAGATGCTCAACGTGCAGAACAAGAACAGCAGCTACTTTGTGGAGTGGATCCCCAACAACGTGAAGACGGCTGTCTGTGACATCCCCCCCGCGCGGCCTCAAGATGTCCGCCACCTTCATCGGCAACAGCAC